CGATCTGCCAGTCCTCTAGCACTGCACTCTTTTCCAAAAAAAATTAAAAATATTTCGTAATACTTCTGTTGTCTCTTTAGATTCTTTCAAAATCTGTGGATGAAATCCATGCAGACAAGGGGTTTCTCTTTAAGTTTGATTGGTTCATTCAGTATATCTTCCTTTTATTTTAAATACACTTATCTCTTTGCTCATCTCATCATTCAATGTCATGTCTGTCTGTCCTATCTGCCTGTAAGTATTGCAGCAAATACGTCTGTTTTCTATCTATTATTCCTTGTCGTATTATCCCGACTGACCCTTAATAGTTCAATTGGATTCTTGGCCTTTCATTCTTAATGACACACTTGTAAAATAGATTGTTAGTTTGTTTTACATTCCTTAATAATTGAATTCCATAGTTCCTCATTTTTCTTCTAATCATTTTGTGAATTCTCTCTTATCCTGATCTCCTCTGCTGTCGATGTATTTGATATGTATTTCTTTTCAAACCTTAACTTTTTACCCATCAATAAATATTTTTCTGATTTATGTTGAACACTATTTTAGATATTCCCATTGTTCTCTATATCTATACTTGCTTGTGTAGTGCCCATTTTATTTCTCCACGTTCTATTTTCATCCCCTCAAAATCAGCTTTTCTCCAATCTATTAGCTTGTTTTATTTTGTCAAACTTAGGTTCTTTTTCATCATCACCTCAAGACACATTTTATTCTGATCACTATTGTTTAAAGATGCTCTCCTTTTACCTCTTCATTCTGCTCGTATCTGTTCATTCTGCAGTACTACATCTAAAAGCAAATCTTATCTTATTGGGCTTTTCACATGTTGGGTTAGAACAGAATCTTGTAGACATTGTGAGAACACGTTTAATGCATGATTTTGAAAGGGTTAATGTTGGAGACTGAATTAGACTCTATCCAGTATAATTATATCATACAGTCTTGGATGGAGAATTGAGGAGACCAGCTCATGATCCCAATAGAGTCAAATATGTCATCCTTGGCTCTTGTTAGTTGTAGTAATTATGTATTAACTTACCAATGTAACTTGTATCTATTGCTTCATATTAGAAACTTCATCTTATTATCATGATAAGTGCCTCTTCTTGTTAAGTCTGATAAGTGGTTAATTCTCTCTTTGAACCAGTATAGAAAGGAGCCAGTATTCTACCTCACCATTTTGCTGGATTTGGTTGGTTCCACTGACATACAACAATTTCTATGCCCTTATCTCCTTTTCTCTACCTCTTCTGTCCAATTAAATTACCAGAGACTATTATTCTATGTTTACACTCATTTTCCTAATTCCGCTTCCAAATTCCTTCTATTTGGCAGTTGGTTGAATACACCTAATGTGATTTATCTTTATTATGTTTTTTTCATTATTACAGTCCTCAGAGAGATCAATGTCATTTAAAAGGAGATATAAAATTCCCAGCACATGACAAGCTTTCATGTTGTGAGAACTTTTACAAGCTAAAATCAACATTGATTAAATATTACTGAATAGGCACTGAACTACAGAAAGCATATTTCAAAATGACATTTTAACAATGGTAAACCCTGCACCATGTTTATACATTACAGTAGATTCACAGCAGATAATGTAACTTTCCCACATGTCTCCTAGTGATTCAAAGGCTCTCTTCTACTTAATCTGACAGAGTGAATCTTTCAGTGTCCCTTTAAGTTAAGTCCTTTTCTTCACACAGTCTTCAGAGAATACTTGAATGAGCTTCTAGCAGCAAGGCATCCTCTGATGATTCTTCAATCTTCAGCTCTCTGCTATAACCTTGAATATGGGTTCCATCCTCACCAGCAGTCCATTTGGTGATTCGCCCAAAAATAGTCCTTTTCTTCTGCTTGGCCTCACCTGCTTTCAGTCTGACAGTCCCTCAGATTCTGGTGAGTCTGCAGCAAGCAGCAAAAACAACTGCTTCTCCCTTCGCACCCAGGTATTAAATCTAATTATTATTTTAATACACTCATGTGATGTGAGCATCACTAGCTGGGCCAGCATTTATTGCTCGTCCCTAGTTGCCCTTTGAAGAGGTGGTAGTGAGCTGCTTTCTAGAACTGCTGCCGTCCATGTGCTGTAGATAGGCCCACAATGTCCTTAGGGAGGGATTTCCAGGATTTTGACTCAGTGACTATGTTAAACTGCTTTTAACCATCTTTCTCGATTCCAATTATACCACCTAATTCATTCCTTTGCCATCACTGCACTACATAACTCATACTTTCCTATGTTCTCTTACACTCTGTTTGTGCTTCTTATAGACCCTTTCTATAATTTAAAGTTTTTGCCGACTTCCTATTTGCCCTTTCCACCAGGTTGCTCTGTTCCTTATTACCAAATTCAAGTTAAGATTCTTACAGTCTCTCCTTTCTCTCTTGTTTGCTTGATAAAACTGTCTTTCCCACTTTTGACTCCAGCAAGCTATTAAAAATATTAACTGATTTCTTCCAACCACACACTATTGCTTAGACTTGGAGAGGAAATTGCTTCCATGAGTTTTAATTTTCTTGTGAACAGTGACCACTTGGATTCCATGTCAGGTTTGCAAGTTTGACTGATTGCAACTTCTGAACCTTCCGAAATTTGGAATTAATTGTAGATGTCCCGTACCTTTGGCTCTCCCAGCGAAATTGAACTTGTCTGTTGTGGTCCCAGCTTCAGAATGAAAGGGTGTCCTATTTAAGATGGAGATGATGAGGAATTGTTTTCCTCTCAAAGGTTTGGAAATCTCTATCCCAGAGAGCAACAACATTGGGTCATTAAATGTATTCAATGCTGAATTAGACGGATTAATTATTCACAAATGTTATGGGGAACAGGCAGGAAAGTGGGGTTGACTGGATCTTATTGACTGGCACAGCAGGCTTGATGGGCTGAATGGTCTACTCCTGCTCCTATTTCTTATGGTCTCGTGGTGTCCAGGCGTTTTCCACATACAGTTCTCAGATTGTGTTAGATTCACTTGCAAAGTGGTTTCCTCTTTAAATGCTGCTTTAGGAAATCATCCTAGGTTATTTTCCTCAGGACCTTCAGTATCACTTTCCAGCACTCAGACAGTAAAGCACATGTCATGGGCTTTATGGAAAATTGAATCGTGCAGAGATCCCCTTCCACAATTCAAAGCATGACATTTCACTCTGCACAGAGCCATTTCTTCCTCCTGTGAACTCTCCCAATTCACCTCTTTCACCTGGCCCCATATCTCCCATTCAGATACTCCCTATGTACCAGACCACTGTCTGAACATCGCCCTCTCTGACCTTTGGCAGTTGACCTAGGCAGGTGACCCCCCTGCCCACCTCTTATGGAGACCTTCCTTTTCTAGTCTGGGTTGCCAAGTGTCATGATCCCTCCCAATGGTTTCTCTTTAAGCCATTTGATGACTCCCTCCCCTGCCCCATCGAGCGACTTCCTGTAGCTTTTACCACCAGTTCATGCCTGACATTTATATCAGTTTGAGTGTGGCTCCTCTTAGAGGAACCCTGCTCAATTTCTAGTTGTGCTTCAGTCCCACACTCCTTGTGGTCAACTGCTTGGTCAGGAAGGGGTGTTGTTAAGTAGATAAACCTACTTTTGAATCTTTTCCTGGCATTGCTCATCAAGAAGTCCAGTTAAAACATGGCACATTGGCTACCTGACCTTTCAATGCCCATTTCTGCTGCTGGCCCTTGTTCTTTGGTTCTCCCTGGCAAAGGAGCACCTTCTGAGGCTGTTCACAAGCAGTGGACACAAGGACCAGAAGGCCCACTGAACAGCATTTGTTAGTTCATAGCTTTCATTTGTATTTATTTGTAATTTGATGTTTCTTGTGTGTGCATCTTTAAAATGGGGTCACTTTCATTAATTTGATTCTAATTGGTGTCACTTGTGGCATCCAAATCACCCAATCAGAAGAATAGAGAAAAGTGTTACCATAGTAACGCACTCTTTCAGAGGCTGACTTGAGGGTGTGTGTTCTTGCCAATTACAATTAATTAGTACAGTCCCTGCAGAATAGTCCTAATTAGCACACCAGTACACAAGAACACACAGACGTTCAGAGCCACAGAAACAAGCTCTGATGTTTAAATAAGAGGACTACTGTTTGTTTAATATCTCTTGTCTTCAGTTGACAGCACTGAGGCAATCAATAAATGGGCTCAGTACTTCGATTCGTGATCAACAAGCAGGAACTGTGCTTTCATGTCTTTCCAGACAATGGCTTCTTGCTCCATGCTGCTTCTGTTAGAGACCATACTGAAGGCTGCTCAGCTCATTGTGTGGAAACAGGAGTGGCAACTGAGACTGCTTGCCAGCCTCTGCATAAAGTCACACTCCTGAGATGTCAGCCTTGGCTCAGTGGGCAGCACACTCATCTGAGAAGGTGTAGGGGGGAGGGTCTGGATTAATGTTCGACTCCAGAGACCTGGGCACAAATGATAGGGTCAGTGCAGTACTGAGGTGGGGGCAGCTGTGTCAGAGGCACCATCTTTCAAAAGAGATGTTAAACCAAAGGCTGGACTGCTTTCTCAGATGCATGTAAAATAGCCCAAGGCACAATTCAGAGAAAAACAAGAAAGTTCTGTCCAGCATCCTAGAATTATAGAATCATAGAATTCCTACAGTGTGGAAGCAGTCTGTTTGGCCCATCGAGTCCACACTGACACACCTTATCAGTAATTCTTGTCAATTATTATCTCTCAACCAACATGGTCAAAGCGGACTCCCTGGCCATGATCTTACCCCTGTAAGTGGAAGTTTGCTTTGCACAATATTTCCTACATTGCAAAGTTTTTAATTGGCTTGAAACTGCTGTGGAAGGTTGCCCAGGATGAACAGAGTCTTTTTTCTGCTCTGTTCCCAAACACTGACCATATAATCAACATTTTATTTTTAATTGTGCCAAGTAGCTTTCCCAGTGGCATTGAATCTTTATTGTGGCACCCTTTCCTGTTATTTCCTTGCTGTATATCTTTATGACTTTGTGTTTCACTTTTAGCCAAACAAGAAGCAGAGCCCAATCCCACGCCTCTTCATTAACCATATTTTAGCGGGTCAGAGGCAATTGCAAAGCCACTGATTGATGCCTCCATCTAGTGGCCAAACTACAAATTGCTGAAATGCAGGCTGATTTGGCAACTGTTCATAGAGTCACAGAATTGTTATGGTGCAGGAGGCCATTCAGCCCATCAGGACTGCAATGGCTCTCTAAATGAGCATTCTGATTGGTGCCATTCTCTTGTATTTTACCTGTGACCCTGTGCATTGTTTCTATTTAAATTCAAAACACCTAAGATTGGAGCCCAGTCTTTATCAATGGGAGTCTATAGTTTATAGACATTCAGCCACAAATGAAGCCTGAGTTAATGATAGTGTTACATACACAAAGTAAGTTTGCATATCGTTGTTGAGAACTCCATCCCAAATGAGCTCACACACAAACATAGGGACAGGAGGTTGACATTTAACTTATTCCCATGTTCTGCCATTTGGTCACACCATGGTCATTCTTAATTCCATGTATCCACTTTTGCCTCATTATGTTTCAATGGTTTTTGGCAACAATAAAAAACTGTCAACCTGGAGAGGATTCAGAAAAGATTTGCCAGGATGTTGCCAGGAATGGAGGGTTTGGGTTATTAAAATAGACTGGAAAGACTGGGACTTTTTACACTGGAGTGTAGGAGGTTGAGGAGTGACCTTATTGAGGTTTGTAAAATCATGAGGGGCATAGACAAGGGTCTCTTCCTGATGGTGGGGAGTTCAGAACTGGGGTTGATATGTTCAAGGTGAGAGGAAAAACATTTAGAAAGGACATGAGGGGCAAATTTTTACACAGACAGTCGTTCATGTGTGGACTGACCTGCCAGAGAAAGTGGTGGATGCAGGTACAGTTACAACATTTAAAAGACATTTGGATATGTTCATGAATAGGAAAAGTTTGGAGGGATATGGGCCAAATACAGGCAAGTGGCATTAGTTTAGTTTGGGAACCTTGTTGGCATGGACTGGTTGGATCGAAGGGTCTGTTTTTGTGCTGCTCTATAACAACCGATGGAGAATTAACTGTCATTTGCACAAGAGAGTTCTGAACTTCTACCATCCATTGTGTGGAGAACTGTTTCCCAATTTCATTCCTGGAAGGCCTAACTCTCATTTTGTAATGGAACCTCCAGTAGAAAAGGTGACAGTGAGGGAGGGTGCTGATCAGGGGAGCTCGAGCAGTCATGCTGGGATCTCTCCCAACAGCTGGTGAGGAGCGGGGGGCGCACATTGAACGGACACTCTTTGGAGGAAGGGTGCCTCTTGGGAAGAAGGAGCAAATAGACAAAGGATTCCTCAACCCAATGTAAACCACAGGCTTCAATCCCTTAAGTACTTCCTTGCCTAACATTAATTTTCTTTCATATTGTAATGGCTTGATCCCAGTGGAATAAAGAAGCCAGAAGGGTCTCGACCCGAAGCGTCAGCTTTCCTGCACCTCTGTTGCTGCTTGGCCTGCTGTGTTCATTCAGCTCTACACCCTGTTATTCCTGTTTCATGGTCGCTTGATCTTCTGTGTGTTCAAATTTCATGTTATAGCTTTCACAACGTTTCCCTTTGTCCTAGACTCTCTAAAAAAAGGTTTCTCTCTACCAACTTTATCTGCTCCCCTTAACATCTTGAAAACCTCAATCAAATCACCCCTTTAACCTTCTAAATTCCAGGAAATATCATGCTGGTTTGTGGTAATCTCTGTTCAGAATCTAACATTTGGTGTCACGGTATTATTCTGGTGAGCCCTCACAATGAGGGGCTTTCTTTTACCTCAAGCAGATTGGTGTTCTGGTTCAAAGCTCACTCTATACTGTCCAGACTCCCTCTGCTGGACAGTCGGAGCACTGACTGAGTCCTATCCTTACATTGCTCAACTTGACTTTCTTGCGATGCTGAAGTTGCTATGAAAACACACCCGTCGTGCTTTTGGATTTAAAGTGTGGTAGAAAACAAATTGCCAACATTGGCTTTTGGAGAAGGGGACATGCAAGATATCTACTGGGGGGCTCACTCCAGAGTAACTTCAAATCATTTATATTCCAGGACAGTGCTTTCACATTTCTCTATATCAAACAGTCCCACTCATCATGAGCAATGGAAGTTCAAGTGGTCAGTTATAGAGATTGGTGCCAGCCTTAATAATTAGTAGTTACCTCCTGTCTGTTCAATTTAGTTCATCTACGTTTACTCAGAGTCATGCAATAATATGACACAGAAGAAAGCTATTCGGCTCACTGAGTGTGTGCAGCTTTTTTTGAAGGGCAATCCAAACTCCATTAGTCTTTCCCCATTTCCCTGTATTGCATTGTCAATCAAGTATGTATCTAACTCCCTTTTGAAGGATATCATTTCCATCATGCTATCACCATGCAAATCCCATCCAATCATCACATTAAGCAGTTTGTCTTCCTGGTTTCCTCAATCATCTTATATCTGTACCCTCTATTGACCCTTCAGCTGTTGGGAATGTTTCTCGTTATTGACTCTATCTAAACCCATTATGATTTTGGATAACTCAATCAAATCACCTCTTACCCTTCTCTGCTCTAAGGAGAACTGTCCCAGCTTCTCCGGTATGTCCATGTTTTTTCCTCACTGGAAACAATATCAGAAATCACTTTTGTACTCTTTCTGAAGCACTCGTGTCCTTGCTAAAGGATGGTGTCCAGAAGTGGACATAATACTGCAGCTAGTATCTTCTTTTCTCTTCTTATATAAAAACCAGGGGCAATAAGGTCATGGCTTAGCAGATTGTAATGTCAAATCCAATTCTCGCTTAGCACCTTGCACCATCTTGCTTCATACGAATCTATGTGCATCTGCCTTAAAACTATTTAAGGACTCTGCTTTTCTGGATTAGGATTGCAAAGACTCACAAACCTCTGGGGGAAAAATATTCCACCTAATCTCTGTTTTTAATGGGTGACCCCTGATTTTTAAACAGTGACACCCCCCTTCTCCCTGCCCCAGTTCTAGTTTCTCCCATAACAGGAAACATCCTTCCATATCAACCTTGTCAGGACTCCTCTCATGATCTTGTATTTTACTATCAAGTTGCCTTCTTGATTTCTTCTTGATATTCTTCTGAACTCCAGCAAATATAAACCTTGCTTTTCCAACCTTTCCTCATAGGATGATCTATTCACTCCTGGTATTAGTCTGGTAAAACCACTCTAAACTGCATCCAGTGCATTGACATTTTTCTGTAAAGAAGCTGACCAATACTGTGCACAGTCCTCTTGATGTGTTCTCAAGAGTGTCCTGTTTTATGCCCCTACTTTTGTATTCAATTTCCCTTGTGATAGACAATAACAGTCTATTAGCTTTCCTGATTACTTCCCGTGCCTTCACACTAACCTTCTGTAATTCATGCAGTAAGACACCCAGATCCCTCTGTACCTCAGAACTCTGCGATCTCACACCATTAAGATAACATGCTTTTTCTTTATTTTTCCTACCAAATGGACAATTTCATAATTTCCCACATTATTATCCATTTACCACATCTTTGTCCACTCAATTAATCTATCAATATATTTTAAAGCCCCATTTTGTCTTCTTAATAACTTATTTTCCTACCTATCTTTATATGATCAGCAAATCTGACAAGCATTCTTTATACCCCTTTCTTTATTTTTATATTTAATACTAAGAATTACTGTAATGTTTAACTTTTAACTTTGTTCTTTCTTTCTACCATTTTCTTATGATTATGTACCTACGTATTTGTCCTTAAGATGGCACCTTGTGTGGCAACATTAGACACTTTTCACAGAAATCCAGTACATTTGTACTTGTGCAAGTAACAATAAAAACTTTAAAAATCCAAGTTTTTATATAATTATAAACAGTGGAGGGCTCAATAACAATTCCAGTGGCAGCCAACTCATTACATTTTACTAGCCTGAAAAAGACCCTTCATGCCTAGTTTCTGCTTCCTGTTAGTCAATTTTCTATCCATACCAATATCCTATTCCCCACACCATGAGCTTTTACTCCCCAAATAACTATTGTTGTGACACCTTATCAAATGTCTTCTGGAAATCTAAATACATCTACCAGTTCCCCTTAATCCTTGCCTCCTCAAAGAACTCCAATAAATGGATCAAGCAAGACTTCATGTTCGCAAAGCCATGTTTGTGTATGCCTGAATACCTCAAACTTGTATAACCTAGCTGCTGTAAAGTCTTTAATAATAGATTCCAATATGACAGATGTTAAGTTAACTAGTCCGTATTTTCATAATTTCTATCTCCCCAGCCCCTTTTTGAATAAAGTTTGCCATCTTCCAATCTATTCTAATAGACTGTACCCATATCAAGGGAGATTTGGAAAATTAAAACCAATGCATTAGCTATTTCACTAGCCACTTCTTTTAAAACCTTAAGATAAAGCCCATAAGAACTCAAGCACTTGTCAGCCCACAGCTCCAATAATTTGCTCAGTACCACTTCCCTGGTGATTATGATTTTCCTGAGTTCCTCCCTCTCTACCAGTTTCTAATTTATCACTGCATCTGGGAGGTTACCTGTATCCTCTATGGTGAAGACAGATACAAAATATCTCTTCAATTCACCTGCTATCTCCTTATTTTATATTACTAATTCTCCTGTCTCACTTTCTATATGATCAACACTCAAGTTGTTAACCCTTTTCTTTTTGAAAAATTTATGGAAACTCTTGCTATCTGTTTTTATATTTCTGGCTAACTTTCTCTTTTACTTCAATCCACAAACCCTCATCCTCATTTTTTTGTCATTTTTTTGCTTTTTTTTATATTTTGTCCGATCGTTTGACCTGCCATCTATCTTTGCATTTATCTATGTCCTTTATCTTTAAGTTCATTACTTTAACATTTTCTGTTAACCATGCATGGTGGGTTCATCACCTGGATTTTTTTTATCCTTTGGAATGTATCTGTTCTGTGTATTCTGAAATATCCCCTTAGATATCTGCTGCAGTGTCTCTATTTACTTTTCCTCTGATCTAATTTGGCAATTCTC